AACACATGAAGACGTGGTACATATAGCTGCAATATTCATTTTGTTTTTTTTTTGTGTGTGCGAACAAGTTTCCTATAACCATTCGCGTGTTTATGATTTATATCTGTTGTTTATATGCCTCTGATTGCCCGACTATCGGTCTTTCTGTCTTTTTTTTTTTTGTCCCAGCCAGAAGGAGTAGGCTGTAGGCAAGCATAGTCCAAATGTATATTGAATGTATATAAATATAATATACTTCAGCTTGAAAATGATGGCATTTTTATTCCAGATGTTGTATTCTTGTAGTGTACCTACATGCCTAAACTCACCAGCCCAAACATCTAGCATAATGTTCAAAAATATCATATTATGCATAACACAAACAAAGAAAGACAAAAAAAAAAAAAAAACAATATTCTTCCCATTGTCATGCCTGATACCCTTGTTTTTGTCCTTTGGTCCAGAAAAAAACGTGGTGGGAAGCCAGGCATGCTAAGGTTCAGTCAGCTGCAAGCGTTGAGGAGGGAGTTTAACTGTATAAATCCATATGATGGATATAAACGGTACATGTGTATATTTATACAATCTATATACCATTCCAAACCCGTGTACAACATGTACACAGCGAAACGAAAAAAGTTTAGTTCTGACCAGCCTCCCCTATTAACGTGATAACATGTTTATTCCTCGTTCTTGGTGCTTCCCCCAGTATGCGGGATGCACTGTATTCTCGGTAGCCCAAACCTTTACAATTGCGAATATGCAGCAACTCTTCAATCTCTAACCTATTATGGAATGTAAACAAAATACAATTGTCCTGGGGTGGTCAGTGTACATGTGGAGATGAACAATTCTCTGATCAAATATATTTTTCTCCACTCTTGTACTCTTATTTCCTTACTCTTTTTTCTTGACTCCTCTACCCCTTCTTTTTTTTTTTTTTTTTTTTTTTTTTGGACACAACTCGTGCTCACGAATTAACCATCGTGTTTGATAGGGAAAGAGATATGGAAGAAGAAGGGACGAAATGGCAGTGAAAAGATCGCTCTACGGTTGCTCATCAATCTTTTTTTTTTTTTTTTTTTTTTTTTGGCTTTAACATGTTACTGTCGTTGGTATTCGTCTACGCCTTCATTGCCCCTGAATTGAGGGATGATGGTAACACACAGTGAGGCGCTTGTCTGTAGATGGGGCTATTTACCTTTGGCGAGAAGCTCATACGAAAGCTGTGCAGTTTAGGACATCTGTCACCAATAGTAGTCTTTTGTCAATGACCACATTCACCACATGGATTTGTATTGGAGATAATGCAATTTATCCTTTTTCAAAGTTTGTAACGCGCTTGAAAAGTTGCAAAGGCTCATTCATCATTTGTCCACCAGCCTAAAAGTGGTGGGTCCAAAAGCATTTACCTGACTTGGAGAATCCTTACGATAGTGATATGCTTCATCTATTTGAATCATTATTGGACGCATATAGTATCTTTATTTTATTTTTATTTTTTCAGCTCAAAGATATATACTGTATATAGTTGATACTTGGGTTGTAGGATGCAAACGCACAGTCCACCATTTGTGTCCATTGTTGGGGCAGTCAAGTTCTGGAAAGTTTATATGGATCAGGTAGAGATGACGGGAATCCCAATTTTGACTGGTGCTCAGATATAGGACTAGACTGCGCATAAAAATTACACGAACGATAGCATAGATGGGCTACTTGGTCGTTAGTGAGTAAGCACCACATTTGTAATCGACGGCGAATGTTTGGTCTCTACTCCGATCTACCCGGTCTCCCTTCCCCAACTTTCTATCGGGATATGAGATGGTTGCATCTGTATCTTATTTTTTTTATTTTTTTGGAATAGTGAATGATATGATGATGATTCAATTTGAGGCACATATCCCTTGCACAATGGCGTTTTTTTTTTTTTTTTTTTTTTCTGCAACACAAACATTGATGCCAGTCTCCGTTGGCCTATGCGCCTTTTTTTTTTTTCTTTTTTTTTTGGGATAGAAAAAAAAAAAAAAGAGTGATCGTCTGTGGTTGTGGTGTAGGCTATCTCGAATTGCCCCGATGCTTGAGCTTAACCCTTGCTCTGTCATCCTCTTTATGCGTTCCTGTCCAATCCTCCGTTCATGCTAATACCCAGCGTTGCACAGGGATGTGGTAAATGAAACATCCTCGATCCATACGAATTTTAGTCAGGGTCCTCGCCCTTTCCCTGCTTCAACTGAATGAATGTACATGTAAACGGATAGGACTGAGAATTATGAGGGTTAGAAGATTGCTTTTTTTTTTTTTTTTTGCCCACTATCCTTTTCAGTCGACTTTTTTTTTTATTGTGCGTCATATTCATATGCGAGCATACATGATGGCGGGGAGTGGAGACATCAATGATAACAAATTACAACGGATGGATAATATGATGATGACGAGGGCTTACATATACACACTATTTTGGTGGCACCATCAATAATATGAATATTTTGTCCTTCTTCCTCGTGGCAAAGCCAGGAAAAGACGAGCTCATTGCGGCATTTATATAATATGGTATATATATCATTAGATTACATTAGAACATTAGGTTAAATGTACGTATATTACGATGGAGCATGACCAGTATGTTTTGTCATAATTGATCCATGCTGTCAATCTAGAGCCAGCATGGATCCTTTTTATCTACTTTAAAAAAGAAATATTGCTCCACATCGAGAGGGTGCAATATGCTCATCTTACATTTATATATCTTTGACCGGATATTCAAATAACTGGTTGCTCATTATCATTTTGTCATTGCTAATATATACTGACTAACCCATAGTTTTTTTTTTTTTTTTCTTTTTGATTCCCAGCGAGCTCCAAACTTTTTCTTTTGCTTGCTTTACTTTGCTTTGTTCTCTTTCACATGCCAGTCCAGAGTGTATGCGTGCGTGCAAACAATGTTTTTTATCTTGAAAAGTATTTCCCGCCCCTTTCTAAAGCGTAAAACAAAGGACGCGGACCATGTTACATACCTTTTTTTTTTTTTTTTTTTTGTACTGCCGAACCGCGTCAATGTAAAGGTTCAGATATACATAAAAAAATGAGAAGGAATAAGAAAGTGTCATCATCCTTCTTTGTGTTCAGAAAATAAGTTACAAGAAAAAGATATTTTTATGCATTTTAAAGCAAAAAAAATTTTATTGTATATATATATATATGTATACACATTGTTCATTTGGAACACAGGCACGTCAAACTGGTCATTCATTGTTCACGACGAATGCAGACGAACCTCACGCGAGCAAAAAAAAAAAAAAAAAAAGAAAAGAAAAGAAAAGAAAAGGATGAACAGATGACATGTACTAAAAGGATCATGAATTACACTAATGGCAAGTGATGGAAGAGCAAGTTGACCTTCCTTGTGAAAGTGAGGTTGACAAAGTACAGTAAGAAGGAGAATAGAAAGACAGATAGAGATTGGATGAATATGGGATAGGAAGTGGAGTGAGAAAGAAAAACGTGGACGGGCAGAGTGATGATTTGCTTGACTATTTGACATAGCGACATTTTCCTTTTGCTGAAACAACATTGTGTGGGTGATAACGACATATGTTTGTGGGACTGAACACAGACAAAGATAGGAGAGTGATCAAAATAAAAAATAAAATAAAATAAATGTATTGAGTTCAGTATTGAATCAACGTTTTTTTTTTTACGTTTAAGCAGGGCAAGCGGGGTAAGCACGCGTATTCTATTCTAAAGTGTTTGTTTTTGCAAATAAAAAAAAAAAAGTGGGGGAGTGCAGCACATGTGTGGGAGAAGAGTACGAAGGAAAGAAAAAAAAAACCCAGCCAGAGAGAGCGAAAAAGTAACATGGGCATGCAAAAATGATGCGATGGGAGGTGCATATGTCACACACTCCACTTCACCCAGGTGGACTTGGAATTGTTAAAAATAATCTATTTTATTTTTTTTTTTTTTTTTTTTTTTTGCTATCGATAAATACATGGCCAATAAATAAATACATTGGGTAAAATAAAATAAAATAAAATAAAATAAAATAAAATAAAGCATAGCTGCACAACGCTGTCGCCTCTTTTCGTCCTGTCCGAACTGACAGCCCTGTGCTTGTCCCCTAATTCTTAAATTCCTAATCACACCATATTCTCTGCTCTCTGATATATTTATATTGGTTTTATTGTAACTGTTACTCAATCACATTTATAACCATCCCATTATAAAATAGAAACATAAAAAAAACTAATCTATTAGATATCCATTGAATCAAATCAAAATAATAAAAAATTCTTTAGCTGTTTCAATCGATCAATCAAAAGTGAAAAAAGGGCCATGCCATGCCATGACCCCCCATGTCAACATCCAGTCGTGGCTCGTGGCTCAACCCTCTGCAATGCTTTGCTACAACAGAAACAATTGTTTATTGATTGCTTTGTTGGAGCTTGACCACTCGATCGGGTCGGTGGCATATATAAAAGGACCATCCGTTTCCTTCCTCCTCTCTCTTGACTTTCTTTTCTTTTCTTTTCTATTCTTTTTTTTTCTTTCTTTCTTTACATCCCTTTCTCTTTTCCTTCATTCATTATCATCATCGTCACCATCATCATCATCACTACCCATAATCTTCTCTGCCTCCACACAAAACCATTTCAGATAAAGCTTTTTTTATTTTTTTTATTTTTTTTTATTCATCCATTCTTACGTTACTCCACAATTAACTAGCCCGATCCTATCACCTATCCCTACATCCTACAAAAACAAAGAAAAGCACATAATCTTGTGCGCTCCCTCTCACATTCATTCTTTACACTCGTTCCCTTTCCTTCTGTCCATCATTACTACAATATCTCGCAGCCATGGCATCCACACCTTCAACCTTTTCTATTGCCAACATCATGAACGAGCCTTCAACTTCAACCACATCCCGTCCTAAAAAATCAGTCATCTCTGCATCCTCAGCTTCGTCTTGTGGAGAGTCTGATCAGGAGTCATCTTCGACTAGAAAAACAAAATCTACAGAGCAGGTCACTCGTCCTTACGAGTGCCATCTCTGTGACAAGTCCTTCTTCCGTCTTGAGCACCAAACTCGTCATATCCGCACCCACACAGGCGAAAAACCCCATCCTTGCGATTTCCCCAACTGCGATAAGCGCTTCTCCCGTTCAGACGAATTGACTCGCCATATGAAAGCCCATACATCTGCTTGCAAGAACGGCAACGCAGATCTGCTCTCAACCTCGCGCCACCACTATGCTACCTACCAGGAATATATCCAAGCAGTCGAATCCGCCGAATGGGCCAGGAAGCATATTTGCCCAGTCCCAAATTGCTTCAAGTCCTTCACACGTTCCGGTCACCTAGCCCGCCATATCCGCTCTCACACATCTGAAAAGCTGTTTGTATGTCCTGTTGAGAGCTGTGGCCTTGGCTTTACTCGATCAGATGCATTGCGCGAGCATGCCAAAACACATGTCACTCGTTCACGCAGCCGCAAGTCCTCTGCAGAAGCCAGAACCTCTGCAGAATCATCCCCTATGTCGCACTCGCCTGCAAGCTCTGTGCGCTCATCCATGTCGCCCTATCCCATGTCTCCTTCGCTTTCGGAATCAGACGAGCCTATGACTGATTACTATCCTTCATGGGCCAGGATGACGCCCATCACACCCGTGGCACATCAGGAGCAACAACAGCACTATCAGCACCAGCCGCAGCACGAGCAATATCATCATGAACCACAGTCATATTACAAGAGTAGCCACGATGATATTGTGCTTCAGACGCCTCCTTATTCACCACCAATGTCTCCTCGATATGGCAGTGCTAGTTCGTCTCGATATGCCGCTGCGCCATATCCTCAACACAAGCCTCATCACCCGGGGTTGCCCTCAATGATGGAGAGCACATATCACCTCCACAAACCCCACCCCCAGCATTCAACCCAGTACGATAATAACAGCCAGTACACTTCACTTCCTTTGCCTTCGATCGCAAACAGCAATTATGGCAATGGCTTCAACAGCCATAACTACAACAACAGCAACAATGGCAACAATAACAATGGATCAAATGTTATGCTCCCTCCTATCAAGTCCTTACTTTCTATCTCTTAAATCATTTATTTATTTTCTCACCTGAACCCCACAAAAAAAATGTAGCCATTTTTTTTTTTTTTTTTCTTTTCTTTTCTTTTGCGACCCCGCTTTTAGTACTCCAGGAGCTACCTGAGCTTTGGTTGCTTCTGTTTATTTTCCCACCCGCACTTTTATTTTATACTTTAATTCTTTTTTTCCTGCTCTCCGATTGTACATAGCATTTGTTCATTTGTTTCGTTATGTTGGCCAATTTGTTTATTTTTTTTTTTTTCATGCCCTTTTGCCTGTTGCTATTTCAGCATTTTATTATTATCATTAATTATCTTTTTTTTTTTTTTTTTTTTTTTTTTTTCATATCCACATTTCTACAATCCAATTCATATATTCCTTGTAAAATATCATTTCATTCATTTTTCGCTTCTCCTCTTCCCCCCCTTTACATTCTAATTGCATTTATAAAATATAAAATACTTTTATACTTATTAATCATTGCACTTGCAAAATAAAATAAAACAAAAAAAAAAAAAAAAAAAAAAAAACACACACACACACAGAAAAACAATAGATAGTGTACAATGTATACAGTTGAATGTGTTGAAAAAGTGCTCCATGAGTTGATAGAGATATACATTCAATAAGGCAACAAAACCATCGATTAAAGTCGAAATGTATAGATAAATACATTTATAGATTTGTTTTGTTTTGTCTTGTCTACCGAAATCTATTGAGAAGCAGTGAGGATACTCTAACTCCACGCTTCTCCATATCCGCATCAACGTGGACAACGTGACCAACGTAGGTATCATCCACATCATTTCTTTCTTTCTAGTCATAAGAGTCAAAATCCTTGGTGCTGATCATCCCAAAGATTGCCGCGAGCAGAACAGAGCAGAGCAGTGCCTACATTAGACTTTTCTATCAATCATTCTGAAGGTTTGTGTGCAGCTCCGGAAAGAAAGAAGATTAAGGGTTTGGCATACAAGCATTATCGCCAGACCTGTAAAAAAAAAAAAAAAAAGGCGAAACAGACTTCATCGTTTCGCCATGGTAAAGTGTTCGGCTGCTTGTTCTTTCGATCTCCGCTTCTGGTAGTACACTTCTCTTTCTTGTATGTGTTCACATCCTTATTTCTTTCTTCTTTTCTACTCGAGTCATATCAATTGGGTATCCCTATTATTGAGCCTACATCAATTGCTTATTCTTTGTGATTGCACATTCGACTATACTTGTTCTTGTTCTTTCGGTTTTAAAAGGTATGTTAGTTTTCTTTTCATCAATCCAACCTTGCAGGCAACACCTTGCCAATGTATCGCCTTCTCGACATGGGCGATTTACGAGTACATCGGCTCGTCTATACAGCTGGGACGTGGCCTGGTGCTTAGCTATCGATAGGTCCAATGAGCCTCTTGCACCCTGGGGTTTTTGAACGTCTGATAGGGCTATATTACTTCATTGACACTAAATACCTAGTTTTTGCCAGACGAATTGATTATAGGACCTCAAAAGAAAAGCGATACTAGGCAAAACTCAGTTATACCTAGTGGTAAAATTCAATTACAGCAATTCGATATACAGCAGAGGATTATTTTTGATCAGTAACGCAAAGGCCGCCAAAGTTCGTTGTCAACGCCTATTAGTGAGTTTTTTTTTTTTTTTTTTTTTTTTTTCTTCAACTAATTTATGTCTATTGTATATTTAACAGTACGCATAGTTATTGATACTGACTTTAGTCATAAAAATGAAGACACGCGTCAAGCCAAGGAAGATTGTCATATCCTAGCGCAATGAAGCAAATAGATTTGTGTGACTGACGCATAGAGACGTGTCTTGATGCGATCTAAACGTTCTGTCTAAAAAAAAAAAAAAAAAAAAAAAAAAAAAAAGTGCTATATTCCTAACATACTGCCTAATAGCTCACCATAACATTTTGGACAGTAGTAGACGGAGCTGCAGGTAGTGATGAAGATCACTTTAGACAGCATCAATTCCAAAACCTGTCCTCAACGGATCTCACTGGTCCTCCGTTCGGGTAAAATGAATACAAATGTGTTATATATACAAATGTGTGGAGTTTGCGCCCTCACGAAGCCGCCGATTTTGAGTGGATTAGCGTAGTTCCGTTACACGCCATTAATAGCGAGAGAGATTATCTGAGAATACAAAAGGAGTGCGATGCATAAGGTTGATTGTGCTCCATGTTTCTCATTTCCTCTCTCCGCTCACTTGGAGTATTTCACTGAACGAGCTGATTGAGCCTCTCCAATACTGAAAACATCAATATATATATAAATATAACAACATCACAATCATATTAATCAAAGGAGATCCCACACCTCCGCCTTTTTTTTTTTTTTTTTTTTTTTCTTTTTGGAGTGAATTTTTGTGGGTGAGTCGGGTAGCTGCCGAGAGCATTTATGTTAATTACTACTGGACATGTATCTTATTTCTGGGCTATTGTTTAATGATGTGGAGATGCGGATGTTTAATAGTGTGGAGATGGTAAAACAATTGTTGTACCAATCTCCAAGTCCTCCTTGTTGGATAGCCACAAGTAAGGCATATTTGTATAAATGAATGATTTTTTTTTTTTTTTTATCTCATTCTTGTTATTATCACATCTAATGCAGTAATCGCCATAGCTTGCTATTGATTTTTTTTTTTTTTTTTGGTTTCCTTTGGTATAGGTAGCTCTTTTGATTGTTGTCGACTTTTTGTTTATTAATTGTTATTATTATTATTATCATTCTCTCCTTTCTTTGAAAGACAACAATAACGCCGAAAAAAAATAAAAAAAAATAAAAAAAAAAATAAGAAAGCTACCAAATTTCCAACAAATTGAAGAAGCTTTTCTTTATTGTGTTATCTGGCATCTGTCTGTCTCTCCATTTGCCAATGTTGGGGAGGCCTCAAAGGAAATGTATTTCTTTTTTTTTTTTTATTAGTAGCCCCATAGAAAAAAAAGGAAAAAAAAAAAAGTATTATACATTCATAGTGATAAATAAAGAGAGTAGAAAGTAAACATCGGAAATGGATCTTTTTTTTTTTTTTTTGATCCTATATTGCATCATGTAATATCATGATTTTAGACTTTTTTTTTTCCTTCTAGCCTCAGACCCTTGTTGCAGCTCGTATCAATTGTTCATATTGCCAATTTACCCCGACATGTTAAACATTGAAATAAATTTATTTTCTGTTCCTGTTCCACGGTAATAAAATTGCAGCGATGGCGTCAAAAAAAAAAAAAAAGAGGCTAAGCTTGTGAGTGTGGGTGCGGGTGCTGGTCTAGAAAAAAAAAATCTCACGCTTTGACGCGTTAGGCGCTTTATTCATTCCTTATTTAGTCCTTCCACCGAGTCGCGTTTTTTTTTTTATTATTATTGTTATTATTTAGGATCTAAACATCATCTTGCAATATGCAAATTATGATCAAAATGCATTGGCAAGTATATATATATTCGTATGTATTTTGTAGGTACTGCAATGGGTTTAACTATTATCGAATCGAATACACCGAGGCTTGCCTACCTATGAGTCTCATTCAAAGATTGATTATAGGTTTGCCCATAAATTTTTATTTTTTTAACCTGTAAAATCGAAAGGTTGTCAGCCTGTCATTACCTACAAGCCCGCCTTCAATTTGGTGCAGGGAGGACCTTGTTAGTTACTAATGAAAGTACCCCATTGGTGCATTTCATTTCCAAGCCTCAGCTTTGTTGACGATTCTTGTCATTCAGATAACACACGCTTGACGAGTGGTGAAAAAGTATCCCTAGTCTCTAGATGAAGCGATGTCTTTATTATATACTCATACCCTTTACCTGACCGTTTCCCGCATGACTCCCTCGTTGGTGTAAGCATTTGAGATGCTGTTGTAGCAAGTTGGGTAACACACTCCACTGACACGCTGACATGATAGAAAACACTAACACCATGAGTAGATAGAGAGTTCATCCATCTTTAGATCCTTTTAGACTTCAAATAAGCCAAACAACTATTGGTATCCTCCCTCGGAGTATGGACGGGAATGGGGAAGTGTAAGACGGCAGACGGATCAAATATTATGTTATATTTGATGTGTTATGTGATTGTTGTCCATTCATTCC